GTGATTTTCAGACTTCCAAAAGCTAACACTTTTTAAATACAATTTTTAACATACTGTTGATATATACAACGAGAAAGAAGTCACGCGACCTCCAGTTAATATTCAACGATTATACAAACTTACTTTCACCATAGGTGAATATTTATCACGATCAAACCGCGTTAATCTCTTTAGTACAGATGGTAACTCTATGTAGGTATTACTTGTTATTATTCCCATCAAAATCCAGAAATTAATGGAATATAAACTAACGTTCAACTCGCGAGCTACATGGTAGCCAGTTTGTCAATTATTTACGCATGCGCTGATCACACAAATTGTGAACAATTTGCTAGTATTTAATTAATGCCTACCGTTACTCTGCTGTGAACAGGTAAGATTTTAAACCTAAGAACAAAATGCCTCGTCCCTTTTAGCGGCGGTTTACGCTCAGTCAAATTAAATCTAAAAACGCGCTGTAATTCTGCTGATGACCAGTTTTCATTACGCGTCTTTCAATTATAAAATCTTTCTCTTTCAATTTTATGTACTCTGTGTGACTTAGGGTCTGCCCTTAAATTAAGAAAAAAAAAAAAACAATCTTCGAAAGTGACATAAAATTACTTTGCCATTAAGGCATACAGTTTTTTGCTTTAACTAATGGAGCGGAGGTCTCAAAACTACTAGTGAGGATTATTTTTAAATATTCTGAAGCACTTGTAAGGTATTTCTATCGAGAAATCAACACAGGATAACGCAACAAACAAACAAATGAAACTAATATAAAACAACGTTCTAACGGTATTAATATTCCATGTCGAATGTTCAAAGCTTGTTGGTCACTGCCGTCAATCACGTGTGCTGACAGGAAGCCATTTTAAAGCACGACTCCAAAGATTCACGTGACCAATCTCATCCAAATCCTGTCAAGTGAAAGTTCTTGCATGGCAACTATTTTCTGTCGATGGCAACTAGATCAATCTGCTGTTTAGTGAGATTGTCCTGCTTGGAACTTAACCAAACTGTAATTTGCAGGATTTGATAATTTGTGTCAACCAAATGATTATTTGTGCCGACCGCACACTGAAGAAGATGAGATCCTTCTAAAGCTACGTTTTTCCCTCTGGTAAGGTCTTTATTTTAGGTTCCTTTTAAAAAGACTCATACCAACGAAACTGTGGAAGGTTCCAACGGGACCTACCACATGGTTAAGCTGATCTCGCCATACTGAGAGTCCCAGCGATAGAATGCCCTGGCCACACCCTTGCTGATCTCTAGCTGGCATCTCCATTTGCCATGATGACTTAGCGCTGTTGTGACGTGAGTAAACGTCTCCGATTCCAGACGATTTACTTCCTTGAACTTGTAAATTCTGTGTCCCACCTCGTTCGGAATGTAAGCGGTTCGTCTGCGATGCGCACAGCGCAGGCGGTAGAACAGTGTGACAGAATCGTCGTTTACCCAATCTCCTGTCAACAAAAAGCAAAAGTTGAAAACGAAGGCTGTAAATTTGGACGAGTGATTTTAGCCCAAGTGTATGGACTGCAGGGCCCAGACGACTTGTCTGTACAATAAAGGTTGTTAGTGTATACCACACCAGTGGATAGTGCTTTTTGCGCATTCTAATTGGTTACTCAAACTCAATAATGTTTGCTATTCTGAGCTGGCGCGGCGAAGGTCACATTTTGCGCGCGAACTTACGAAATAAAGACTTTTTGTAGTCTTTTGGGTCAATTTTTGCGGATATTTTATCCTACTAGTTTGGTATATACTAAAACAATTATTCCCCTCAGTGTCGGTGGCTAATGGTGGATATTTACCGAGCCGCGAAGCAGCGAGGTCAATATCCACCACTGGAAACCTCTACTGTGGGGAATAACTGTTAACTATCGTTAACGTGAATCGATTAGGACGTTTGCTATTCATTCTGAAATGTTGATGACAGTATCTCTTGCGGCTTGTTCTACAATGCCTCAAAGCGTACAGAAACTGGAAAACTTACTAAATAAATCTGTGGAATTTCTTCAATCATCCTACGAAAGGAATCGTGCTGTTTGATTTTTTTCGCCGCGTACTTGCGGCGCAGAATTTGTTAAGATCAGGCGTAATTAAACTCCTCGCTCAGAATTTTTCAGCAGTGGTGAGTTAGAAATAAGTGAAGTCTTACCGCCAACATGAAGAACATATGTGACAGGGGCAACAACTCTCACATGAAATTCCCCGTGTGCGGAAGTAACATCTTGAAATCCTGTCATGTGACTTTCTGAAATCCAGTGGCCTGAACTCACGTAGAACACTTGAGTAGGGACATTCCTTTCGCAATTGCATACCCTGAGGATTCGGTCAGACCCAGGGGGTCCCTGTTGACCGGGGGTCCCGGGCTCCCCCTTAGCCCCCGTGGGGCCCTGGGGCCCAGCCGGGCCTCTCATGCCCCTTGGACCTTCCTTGCCTCTCCAACCAGGGATTCCGTTCGTTCCATTGATACCGGATTCCCCGGGCGGACCCTTCTTGCCTCTCCGGCCCAATAATCCCGGTTCCCCTTTTTCGCCTTTAGTGCCTGGAATTCCGTTGAGGCCATTTCTTCCAGGAGGTCCGTTAGGTCCTTGGGGGCCTGGATGGCCGGGAATTCCTGTTTAGAAAAACATTTTTGAAGCGTAAATATCATGACAGAACTTCAGCTACTTAGCATGACTCCGACGTTGAAGGTGGAACTGGATTTTGTAGATTAGACATGTAATGAAGGGGAACAGAGAGGAGCGTTGTGTTACAGCATTGGAGTGGAGAAGAAGACCAGGTCGACCCAAAGCAACATGGAGGAGAAAGGTTGAGAGAGAAAGGCGCGCATTTGGGTGGCAGTCAAGGGGGACTGTCAGAGCTCTATCAGTAAATCGAACTGAATAGAAGAAGAATGTTCAGTAAAGCATTATTTATGGCATGGAGAAATATACGCTGATATAGGTATAGGTAGATGGATACTTAGAATGATTCTAGAAGTTGAAAACATACGTGAATCATAGGAAAACTGACAAGAGAAGTTTAAGCAAATGGTTTCACGGCTCGGCGCATGGATGTTAGCCCATGCGATTCCGTTGTTTATGCCACTGAATTCCAAAGCAGGGTGGCTATCGCGGCTACTTTTGCGGGAAACTTTTGTTCTGGAAATTTCACCGTCAGTCGACTCCCATACATAACTCAATTTCATTGGTTATAAAACAATCCGATGCGAGTAGAAAACTCGTGCGTTTGTCCATCCACAAAAAATACGGCGGTTAAATATCTCTCCTGGAGTTTTTTAAGTTGCTACTAAGATATCGGCCCAGCTGGGCGTTTCAAGTTGAGCTTTTCATGATTTCATTTCTTCGATTTAGAAATAACGTGTTTCAAGAACAAATGCCGACTTCTACATCACAAGAGGGCAATATCTATCTGTACTGGGTATATGACCTTATGTGGTATGGGCGTGGTTGAATAAGAACGGAATACGAGGAAAAATGCATTTAGCAACTTTGGTGAACGATGATTATGTAAAGATTTACAAGATAATGTTTAAGGTGATTATTTCACGCAAAAACAATCTTAGTCCAGAATGTGGGATTACGTACGTTAAAAGAAGCAATCGAACGTTGACTGTTAAAGAAATCACAAGTTGATTTTTCAAAGAACTGCAATTGAATTTGACAAATAGAAAATTGAAACAATCTTTATGCATCAACAGCTAAAAGCACATAGCAAGGTGAAAAACTGATTAAGCCGCAGGGTTTGATACTTTGCTTACCACTTAAAAGCAATTCTTATATGCACTGATTAGGAGAGTTAGAACGTGACAAGTAAGATGGACGAGACAGCTTGGCGACAGTGGGCCCGCAGAAAGATTCCTGAACACAAAATTACACACGAGGCAGCAAGCAAGTTATTTCCGGCACATTTTGTTGAAAATCATTCCGAGAGTTATACTCTGAACAACAACTTGATATAAATGAAAT